CCCTCCTCGCGCACCGGGGCTGCGGGACGGGCACTGGCTGGGGGGGCGGGGCGGGAGGCCGGGCGGCCGCGAGAGTGTTTTCAGTTCCGCCTCCAATCGCCCATTCCCCTCTCCCCTCCCAGCCCCTCATCCCATTCGGAAGAGGAAGGAACAAAAGGTCCCGGACCCCCGGCTCTGACGGGGCGGGACCCGGAGCCTCGGTCCAGGTAAACCTGCGGCACCCGGCGGGCCTTCGGGGCTAGGGGTGTGTTTGTGTTTGGCTCGGGTCAGTGAGGCTTGCCCCATCCCATGGCCACGGGGGCTGGTGGCTGGGGTGTGGCGAGGTCGGGGCAGCGGTGCACCCGGCCCTCGGGTGCTGGAACGCGGGGCTGGGAAGGCCGAAGGGAAGGGGTCGGCTCTGAACTGGCCGCCGCCAGGTCCGGGGCGGGGGCCTGCTGAGGCCCTTCCCCTTCACTGCGAGCACACTTGGTAGTTTGTGGTTCTGTTATTCAAAGCCGGAGGGACTGAGCTCTTGTTTCGGGAGTTGTTAGGAAGCCGTGTTAGAAGCGTGCAATACTTTGCTTCCACTTTTTGTGTTTTTGGTCGTGTAACCTTTGTTAACCATTATAGTCTTGGGGTTCTGAATTGCTTGTGTGTGCTCTCACACAGTCATGTACACAGTTAACATTCTGTCGAGATCCTTCTACTCACTTGTGAAAGTTGCTGTGAGTAGAGCCTATTAGTTTTTATCGCAGAGAGCTCTCTAATATCACGTTATTTCAAACTTGGTTTTCAAATTTGTAACTTTGTTTTGTTCTCTCCTGGGGGGATACTGTCCTTGGGTTGGGTACTTTTATCTTTTACTTACTTAACCCTTATGTGGTTAATGGTTTCCTTTTGATCCTAAACAAAAGAAAAACAATTCCTAGGTTGATTTTGTTATTCCTTCCTCTTGACCCTTTAAATAGCTAAATACTACCGGTTTTGTTGTCAGCCTTTATTTTAAAAAAAACATTTTCAGGTAAAACGAATTTGGAAGTAGCATTTTTCCATTAGTCATGTCTTGTTAGTTACAGTTTATAATATCCTAAATTTTGGTGTTTTAAACTTTTAAAATTACACATGTAGTGATTGTTAAATAAATAAATGATCGTGCAGACTTATTTGGAGTAATTCCATCTTTTTAAAACTGGTTCTTGAAATTTGAATTAACTTCCAGAATTCTGAATGATTGTATAATCTTAGTTCCTTTTCATTTTCTCTTTTCCAATTTCATATGAATTGAACCTGTACCACTGATTGTAAGGATGTTTTTCTTGAGCCTAATTATTTCTTGAGATAATAAATTTGCCATTACTCTGAAATTCTGCTATTCTAGTTTGACGCACTTAAAAAAAGGTTTCTCTTACATAGAGGGTGTAAGTGACATAGTTAAATGAAGTTTGAGGAGTTTTAAAGTGACTAAATAAGCAAATGTAACAGATAGGAGAAATAATGTAAAATGGATTTCATAAACATCACAGTTGTAGGATTTTCTTATTTGCCTTACGAAAACCATACAGGATATCAATAAAATTTTCTCCACCAAAAGGTCATTTAGCAAACATTAATAGTAAATTTAGAAAGTAACACTGATTTTAAAGTTACTTAGTTTTTGCCATAAAATTAGTTGGGATAGTAAATAAGAATAGTTCAGGTCTTGTGGGCCATTTCTAAGGTGAGTGCCCACTTATACTCTTAATGTTACAATTAATTGACTTTAAAGGAGTTCATTGGCTAGTTTTAATTACTGAAACGTGATTGGAAACATCCATTTCTGGTGTTTTAGTAAGAAATTGCTCTTAGAGTTTTGTTTTTATACTTTGTAGCTACATCTTCTAAAGTGAATTCACATTGTAGGTATTCAGCAAAAGTTTGTTTTTTTTTTTTTAAGGTTATTACTTACCTATACTTACGTAGTCATAAGTGGTCAAATCTCTACACAATCTGTAAAGTTCATGAAATAATAGTCTTGTAAGAAACTGCAGGGTAATTTCCTGTTGTTTGTGGTTTGTCAGACTTGGTATGTGTTTTAACTCTCAAGTAGGAATTTGGGGATGGCATTGTATATTTCAGCAGAAATTCTTTTTAATAGAAACAGATTGTTTCTACAGCAAGGTGGCAACAGGTCTCCATTTCATTTTCATGTTATGAATTTTAGAACCTTGTTGCTATAGTCTTGTTACTTCACATTGGGAGAAAATATGTAAGTGAAAAACACTCAGTTTAGCTGCATGATCTTAGACATTGAATTTTTACATTTTGCGGATATTTTCAATTGTGGCTTTTATAAAGATCTGCAAGCTTTCCTTATTCTTGTTTGGTTTTGATTGTTAGTTTTGTTTTCTAGAACTCTGAAGTCCTCGTTTTGTAGCAGCTTTTTTATACAGGTGTTTTTGTAATGCATATAAAGCTGTATTTAGTGCAGTCTGGCAGATGGAGGTTTATTCATATTCTTGGGACAAGAGTCATTTTTAGAGGATGGAGAGGGGCATGTCTTAGATTCCTTATCTTTTGATGGGAGTAGAAGAGCCATTTTTAAGCTCTTAGTTCCTGTAAGAGAAAAGATGTTTTTCACTAAGGGTATGTCAGAACATGTGAAGTAAGTTTTCAAAATGAAATTCAGGAGAATCTATGCATTTATTCAGATAACTTGTATTTATTGAACAAGTAGCATTTGTGCATTTATTCAGCAAATAAAATAGCCTTTGCTGTGCTGTGTGTCAAGCCTAGAGCAGGCCCTAAAGTATCTAATAGGAAACAAGTATACTTCTGTTCTTTAATGGAATTAGAAAAGTAGAAACTCCTCATATCTCCTGCCCTGTCCTCCAGTGTTTAGAGTAAGAAAATCATGTTAGTGTAAATTGAGGGAGCTCGTAATACATTACTGAGCCAGTTTTCTAAAGTATACTTGCATTGCTTTCTATAATGTAGAGGACAACATTCGAGAAGATATCAAGTGTTACCTCTCAGTGTCTCTGGGAACAGTCTGTATTTGGGGGTGGGGGGACTTTTCACCATTTTTTCACAATCGATACAAATTGAAGATATGGCTTGTCTTTCAGAAACGTATTTGTTGCAGAGCAGGTGAACACTTGTAGAGCAAAGCTTACTTTGGCCTTTGTTTACCCACTGCTCAT